TTTGGTTTCCAAATATAATTTAAGATTCTAATTTTTTTAATTGTCAAGATTGATATGCATTAATTTCATAAATAAATAAATTATGTTACTATTATAATTTTTTGAAACAAATAATGTTATTACACTAATTACGTTTTCAAATTTGGTTGTTTGTTTTGGAGACTTATTCTATGAGTTATTACCCGTTTTTATTTTTGGTTTTGGTATATATATAGTTGATTTCTAGTTCTAGTTGTCATGGTTGCTAAATTTTTTTTTTTTTGCATGAAATTAAAACAAAAAAAAAAAAAGAAGAAATGAAAGTGTTATTAAACGTCTTTAATTTATGGTAGCACATTTTTCTCCTCCATATATTTTATTTTATGAGGTGAGATTCTTAGAAGTAAAATATATTAAACTCTAAAATCTTTTATATGAAAAAATGTATCATGTATACGGGATCTTGAAAAATTGTATGATCAAATAACAAGAAAGCAGGTAAACCTAGCTCCTTACCTTAGTCCTTGCGCAGGGTATAACTTCGGTGCAAAAATAACTGTCATCAAACCAAGAGGAGAAAAATAAATATGTAAGAAAATTAAATTATAAGAAATTAATTAAAGACATCTGATCTACGAAACAAAAGCATATATACCCTAACAAATTGTTAAAAAAATTTCTTAATTTGTCTTTATGCATCAAACAAATGAATGAGTGAAAATAGTAGAAATTAACTGCTTGTATGTATATGTGTACCTGGAAAATTAAGATCTTAAAGCTTGCAGAGAAGAAACAAAGTTATGGAAGAAAAGAGAGTTTATAAAAATGGCGAAGAAGCAATTTTAATAATGAAGAATGGCTTCATCACCAGAACTTCTTATGACCCTTGTGAGCCTTCGTAGAAACACCCAAACTGATTTTTAGCCCTTTCCTAGAAAATGTTTAGAAAAAGGCAGGATAAATGGTTAATTTCCTGGAAAATACTTGGAAAAGCAAGGGAAAGGAATTCGTCGACAATAATTGAAACGCGACAAACCTGAAAAAGCAAGTCAAATTGATAACGGGTTGATAGCCCCACATGCACATGAGAAGGTATAATACCAAGAAAAATCCCTAAACTTTATATAATTTAAAGGCTCACTGTTATCCTTTTATTACAAAAAAATCATCAAGATCCTCAAAAGTCAAAACTTTGAATAAAGAGTCAATTATTATCCTTCCATTAACGGACCTTGTAACACCGTTTATACAAAGATTAAGTATGTTGTAAAAACAAACGGATCTTTTTTCCCATTCTTTCATCAAC